CAATGGTTAATCCACAAGTTTACACATGCTTTTATTATCACAATGATATTTCTAATGCTAAAGTATAATTACTGTTGTTATGCATGAATTTTCCTATTTAGCCAAAAGCAGAAAAATATAGCAAAGCACATTATTATTATTATTATTATTATTATTATTATTATTATTATTATTAATTTAATAAGATTCCAAATTACAGTTAATTACTTGCATTCCTTAATAGAAATATTAGTTTTGGTGTGATTGTTATCCTTGATTAATTTCTGATTTCTAACAAGTTTTTAACGTTGTAAGCAATTAGTAAAATTTATTTACTCTCTCTACATTTGTAGACATCGGTCTTGCTTCCTCTACCCACTTCCATACGTAGGAATGCAAATTGTAAAGAATTGACCTTTTTAAAACAGTGTAATCAAAGTAGCATTTGCTTTCAATGTATGATCTCTAGATGAAAGAAGAACTCCACATAGCCTGTACTCATAAGCCCAAGCTGGAGAAATCAGGGTTCGACTCTGTCTGTCTGCATATAAGCTGTATTATGAATTGGTCTTTACTTAAATGAACAGAGAGAAGCGAGTGAGGCTAAATCCTTGTCAGAAGAAAATTGTACATAGGGTGATCAGCTACATGAAATGTGTTTTTTATTGATCACTAAGCAATCCGCATGTCTACGTGACTTTTTACATGAACTCTTGTGTGATAAACTTATTTAGCATCTAACAGCTTCCTCTTATCTAAGAACATACAGACTTAGAAAAGGGGAACCTCAGCTCTAAGTTCTTGGAATAAATTTGTTACTTTTGTACACACACAAGCTTGTATAAATAAAGAACGCAGACAGTGACAGAGCGCGAGTCCGTGAGTGCCTCCTGTGAGGACGAGCGCTCTGTGACTGCCCTCGCAAGTAAAGACGACTGTAGTGTTTGTGTTTTCTAACTCAGGTGTCTCAGCTGAAGAACTGTGGGGCGATTCTTAGAAATCCCCTGTCATTTAAATTGGTCCTTCGAGCTCAGCGATGGAAACAACATACGCGTTTCTGTGACTCCAATCCGAGGTCTGACTGCTGTATCCTGACATTGTGGGAAGCCAGCACCGAAGTCTGTCGACAGCCCTCTCCAGGTAGAGGAGAAAGACCTGGGACGTGAATTTGGGTCCAGGCCGGTGAATTAGTTCTGGTCCACGACGCTGGGATCCAGCCAGACGACCTGAACAACCAGAGGGTGAGAAAACACTGTTTAGGTCTAACCCGCCGCAATCGTCTAAGTTTTGCGCAGTAGGTCTAACCCACTGCAAGGGTCCAAACAGGTCTAACCCGCCGCAAGGGTCTAAAGGGGTCTAACCCGCCACAAGGGTTTGAAGAAATAAACACGTGAAATAAGTTTAAGTTCGCCGAAAGGAACTGTGTTTAGACTGGTTTTAGAGGTAGCCGTCAAATACTTCGTAACAAATTAGCGCGCAAATGTCTATGTGTGTATGTGTTTGGAAGTAAGTTGATTTTACAGCACAAATAAACTGCTGAACTACTTCCATCTTTGTGTATCCTGCAAAAGCCCATGTACTGGTGACAAAGGGGAAAGGTTGAGTTCCGCCCACGGGCGTAGATTTGGCATGGACGGAAGGGACACGTCCCCACCAATATCCAGCGATTATCGAATCGTCCTCACCAATAATTAGATCTCTTCGAGTAAAGAAAAACAAAACCGATAGAAAGAAAAGAAAAATGATCTGTCAACGTCTCGTTCACGTCTCGTTCACCTAGTGATGCAGAAAGAGTTAAATTACGTTCTCTACTGGAGTCCTACCTCATATGACAAATATGGCCAATGTGATTGGCTGTGCCTTTCAGGGAGCTCTGTTTAGTTTTATCAGCGGCAAGCCTGCGCTGCGAGGACCTGCAAGGAGGAGAGGAGGACGGCAGCAACAAGGAAGAAGCTGGATATAAGAGAGTGTTTCAAAGAAACCTGTAAGTCACTTAAAGTCAAGTTCACTCATAAAATGTGTCCGTCACAATAACGTTACAGGCTATGCTAGGCTTTGGCCCACATCAGTCTAAAATTGTATGTAACCATGAATAACGTGTTTTGGAGGAAACTAACTGCACAACAGGCAGCACTATTGGTTATTTCAGTCTCCCAGAGTAGCATTTCTAATTTTGATTGAAACTGTCAGAGAAAACGGCAGCCTCGAGTAAGACAGGATATTAGTTTACAGAGGCTGTTAACATTATATGTCTAATGTTAAAATGTTGGTGACACAATAATTTCATCCTAATGGTACTGACATATTCATAGGGTTAATGTTTGAGACAAAATATCATGAAGTAGTCATGATTTTGCAAATATTCCACCTTGTAGTGCTGTTTGCACAAATTGTTTTAAAAATGAACTCACCCTACAAACATTACTGATGTGTGACTCATCAGCAATGTTTGTATAGTGTGCCTAAAAGGTTGCATAATTTTGCTGAGAGATCTTTTACTTTGTGGTAATCTTAGATGAGTAGTTTTATGGACAAAAACCACCAGGTCATTCAGTGTTCCCTTAGTGCTAATGTGTAAGAGATGTTTGTGTACTATAACTGAAGTAATGCTGTTAAGTCCTTAAAGTCATATTCTTTTATTGTCATGACTCTATTTGAAGCAATTTTTATTTTTGTATGATATCTGATTTAGATGGAATATGGCTGAAGTAAATAAAGTCTAAAATACTTAGTCATTTTTTAGTAGTAACATTATATAATTCACATATAAAACTATGAATTGTAATTTTAAATGGTTTAAAAGTATGCAGAATAGCACATGTAGGCAAGTATATTCTCCTTTTTTTTATCAAGAAGCAAAGACAAAAAGGAAGAAAAAAAAGAAACAGGGCAGGGTTCGGTGGTTGAATCATCCGTCCCCACCAATGCCAAAACCAAATCTACACCCTTGGTTCCGCCTCAAAAAACTGACACCGCTCTGTGAATAGCGCGGAGTAGAAGGGCGTGTCAGCCACCACCCCCGAGTCAAGTGTACCAGAGAAGGCTCTGCAGTTCTGTGACAATGGGGAATCAGCCCACCAAACTCACTGCTGACGAGCAGTGGCTAGAAAAAAAATGTCCAGGCGCCGGACAAATCAGTGCTTGTAGATGGAAATAGCTTGGGAAAGGGTGAAACTGCAGATCACCCAAAGCCCTTGGTGGATACAAAATATAAATAAAATATTGTAATATACCATTGCTGTTATATAAAAAAAAAGATAATAACTGTCATGGTCCGGGTGTGTGCCAGTGTGTCTCCCTCCGAGCCGGCGTCTCCACCCCTGGGAGGGGCCTCAGTGTTTTTGCTGATCGTTGACATCTGTGGGTAATTAGCCGGGGGACTCATAAGGCCAGCGTTCTCAATCTCTCTTCGCCAGATTCTCTGCTAAACATCAGTCAGTGCAGGCCACCACCATAATTTCCTTACGTGTTTTTTTGTGAATCACCTTTGCTTCACTGTATGTTTGTTTTTTGTGCGCCTCCCTTTTTCAGCTACACCTAACTGTTAAACCCCTGGCGAAGAGCTTCTACTTGGATGCTGGACCTTCTGGCAGTCCCTCAGGCTACCACCAAAACTACCTACCTGCCTCTCTGCCTCCACGCCAGGAGTTTTTGGATTTACACACCCGGATTACTCCCCCTCTATGTCATCTCCGACCTCCGTTGGCAAGTACACAGTACGAAGGAGGATTTTGAGCCAAACAACATTCATATGCCTCCTTATCTATGTTTTGAACATTTGCATTCTGTTACAGTGACCCCGACCTTTTCCTGGACCTTTTGTGACTTGCTTTCCAGTCCAATCCCCGGACCCGGACCAGATCATTATTTAGTTAACGTCTACGCTCACCTTTTGTTTATGAATATTTTGTGTGCACATTAAACATTATTCTTAAAATATATTTCGAGCTGTTCGGCGTCTTGCGTTTGAGTCCTGTCACTCGTCTGAAACGGTCCCGGCCGTAACAGTAGAATCTGGCCAGCAGTTATGGACTCAGCAGACGCGGAACGGTCAGCCATTCAGAGGCAGGGGGCGATATTAGGAAGTCATGAACAATCTATTCAGTTCCTGTTAGCCCAGCAGCAGACTCTTAGAGATGGTCAAACTAAAATACTTGAGACCCTCCAGGCTCTACAAACTGATATTTCTACTGCTGCTGGTTCCGCCTCGGGCCCCGCGGGCCAAGACTCCGGTACACCAGCTCCTCTGCCTCAACCTGTTGCCGTTGCATCTCCACCTACATCAGCTTTCCGTGATGCTACGTCCCCGGAGCCCGAACCATTCTCAGGGGATCCAGGGAGTTGTAGCGGGTTTTTGCTTCAGGTTGACCTTGTTTTCGGTCGTTCTCCGCGCACATTTGTTGCGGATTCTAATAAGATATCTTATTTGGTGGGTAAACTGCGTAATCGTGCACTTAAATGGGCGGAGGCGTATCTATCGAAGAATCCTTTGTTAACCTGTTCTTATGAGGTGTTTTTGGGGGAATTCCAGAAAACGTTTGCGCACCCCATTTCTGAGGGTAGTTCTGCGCAGAGGCTGCTGGATCTTCGCCAGGGCCGTCAGAGGGTTGCTGATTTTTTGATTGATTTTCGTACTGCTGCCGCCGAAACCGGTTGGCCTGACGACGCTCTGCGTGGGGTGTTTTTCCGGGCATTGAACGAGGGTATGAAAGACCAGCTTGCCTCCCGTGATGAGCCAAAATCTTTTGAGGAACTGGCGTCCCTCTCCCTTCGCATTGACAACAGGTTGCGTGACAGGGAGAGGGACAGGAACTACAAATCCCAGCGCCGTTTACCGCGCTCGTTTCCGGGTACGTCACCGTCGCCGCCTCCGACTGTGGACTCGCATGAGTTTGTCGCCTCGGCTTACGTCACTGATCCCGAGCCGGAGCCTATGCAGATTGGCCGGTCACGGTTGACACCGGAGGAGAGGGAGCGGCGGCGTCGGGCTCATGCCTGTTTTTACTGTGGCTCGCTGGAACACTTGATTGCTGCATGCCCGAAGGAGGGAAAAGGTGTCGCCCGCCGGTAGAATCGGGGATACGGGTGGGCGGTTCGAATTCTGGTCAGAAACCCCGTTTACAACTCCCTGTCACCTTGGAGATGCTACAGAGTACTCATTCGTGCACAGCCTTATTAGATTCTGGTTCTGAACAGAATTTAATCAGTCTCGATCTCGCTGAACGATTAGGCGTTCCGCTCGTGCGCCTTGAGCCGCCCATTCCAGTTAGAGCGATTAATAACCAGGTTTTCACTAGAATTTCTTTTCGCACTGGTCCAGTGTCACTGTGCACTTCGGGGAATCATAGGGAAAAACTCACCTTTTTTGTCCTCGATTCACCTGATACTCCGCTCACTTTGGGTTATCCCTGGCTGTGCTTACACAATCCGCACTTGGATTGGGAGGGGCAAAGGGTTGTCAGCTGGAGCCCTTTTTGCCACTCCAATTGTCTGACTTCCGCCCGTTTTCCCGGCCCGGGGGAGGTTACGGGGACTGACGAATATGTCCCCGATCTCTCAGGGGTGCCGCCTGAGTATCATGATTTGCGGGAGGTATTCAGTAAGATCAAAGCGCAGTCCCTACCGCCCCATCGCCCTTATGACTGTGCGATTGATTTGCTCCCCGGAGCGTCCCTGCCCAAGAGCCGGTTATATAGTATCTCTAGGCCTGAACGTGCTGCGATGGAGGAGTATATTAGGGATTCATTAGCGGCTGGGTTAATCCGTCCGTCTTCGTCCCCCGTGGCGGCGGGGTTTTTTTTTGTAGACAAGAAGGATGGGTCTCTTCGGCCGTGTATTGATTTCAGGGGCTTGAATGACGTCACTGTTAAAAATAAGTATCCCTTGCCACTCATTAGCTCCGCTGTTGAATCGCTACAGGGTGCCACGGTGTTCACTAAGTTAGATCTTCGCAATGCTTATCATTTGGTGCGAGTCCGTCAGGGAGACGAGTGGAAGACCGCGTTTAACACCCCCCTGGGTCATTTCGAGTATCTCGTTATGCCTTTCGGTTTAACGAACGCTCCAGCGGTGTTTCAGGCCCTAATAAATGACGTCCTGCGGGATTTCCTCGACCGTTTTGTGTTCGTCTATTTAGATGACATTCTTATTTTTTCTAAGTCTTTGGCTGAGCATCATTCACATGTCCGTGCTGTCCTTCAACGCCTCTTGGAAAACAGACTGTATGCCAAGGCTGAGAAATGTGAGTTTCATTTGACATCGGTCTCTTTCCTGGGATACATCTTGGCAGGGGGGCAGGTGAAGACGGATCCGGCTAAGGTGAAGGCGGTCACTGACTGGCCTGTGCCTTCTACTCGCAAGCAACTCCAGGGGTTTTTGGGATTTGCGAATTTCTATCGTCGGTTTATAAGGAACTACAGTCTAGTGGCGGCTCCGCTTACACGCCTTACCTCTACGAAGCTTCCGTTCGGCTGGTCCGCCGAAGCTGACAGCGCATTCACGGAGCTGAAACATCTGTTTTCTACTGCGCCCATCCTCGCTCAACCCGATCCGTCTAAGGCTTTTATTGTGGAGGTGGATGCTTCTGATGTGGGGGTGGGGGCTGTGCTTTCACAACGTGCCGGCCCCTCCTCTAAGCTGCGGCCGTGCGCCTTTTTCTCTCGGCGGCTTTCACCAGCGGAACGGAACTATGATGTGGGGACCGGGAGCTGCTTGCCGTTAAGTTGGCGTTGGAGGAGTGGCGTCATCATCTGGAAGGCGCGGCGCTACCGTTCCTGGTGTGGACGGATCATAAGAACTTGACGTACCTACGCGGTGCGAAGAGGTTGAATGCACGTCAAGCTCGTTGGTCGCTGTTTTTCGCACGTTTTAACTTTTCCATTTCCTATCGCCCGGGTTCCAGAAACACCAAACCGGATGCCCTCTCTCGGCAGTTTGACTCTGACACGGGTCCGGCGGAGTTTTCCACCATTCTTCCGGCCGGCTGTACGGTGGGAGCTATTACCTGGGAGGTGGAGGACGCCATCGACCGGGGCCTCCGGACGGAACCGGATCCGGGCACGGGACCGCCTAACCGGCGTTTTGTTCCCGCGGCTGCTCGCTCCAAGGTACTGGAATGGGTGCACGCTTCGAGGTTTGCGTGTCACCCGGGCAGGGGCAGGACGACTTCTATGGTTAAGAGACATTTTTGGTGGGCCACTCTGGATAAAGATGTTCGGGAGTATGTGGCTGCGTGCCCTGTGTGTGCCAGGTGTAAGTCGCGTACTCACCGTCCTGCTGGGCTGTTGCAGCCGTTGTCTACGCCTCATCGCCCTTGGTCCCACATCGCCCTGGATTTTGTTACGGGACTCCCGGTTTCGGCTGGGAAGACCACTATTCTCTCGGTCGTGGATCGGTTTTCTAAGGCTGCTCATTTCGTCGCTTTGGAGAAGTTGCCCACTGCGGCTGAGACGTCTACGTTGTTGTTGGACCATGTTTTTCGGCTTCATGGCATTCCTGTGGAAATAGTTTCGGACAGGGGTCCGCAGTTCTCGTCCCAGGTTTGGGGTTCTTTTTGCGCTGCTTTGGGGGCCAGGCCTTGTCTGAGCTCTGGTTACCATCCTCAGACGAACGGCCAGACGGAACGTTTAAATCAGGAGCTGGAGGCCGCGCTCCGCTGTGTGACCTGTCATAACCCTGCGACTTGGGCCTCGTATCTGCCGTGGGTGGAATATGCCCACAACTCCTTGGTTTCGTCTGCTACTGGGTTGTCACCGTTTGAGGCCTCTTTGGGTTATCAGCCGCCCCTGTTTCCGGTGGAGGAGGCTGATCTTGCTGTCCCCTCGGTCCAGCATCATCTACAGCGCTGCCGTCGGGTCTGGTCTCGTACGCGGGAGGCGCTGTTGCGAGCTGTGGCTCGCCAACGTAGCTGTGCCGACCGTCGCCGGTCTCCTGCGCCTGTTTACTCACCTGGACAGAAGGTGTGGCTCGCTGCGAAAGACATCCCTCTCAGGGCATCCTCCCGCAAGTTGTCTCCTCGTTACATCGGCCCCTATTCTGTGGACAGGGTCCTCAGCCCTTCGGCTGTCAAGCTCCGTTTGCCTGCTGCCTTGAGGGTTCACCCGGTCTTTCACGTTTCTCAGGTGAAGCCGGTGGTGTCTAGTCATCTGTGCCCGCCTCCGGTGCCCCCGCCTCCCGCCCGGCTCATTGACGGGCATCCTGCGTTTTCTGTCCGGCGCATTCTGGATGTGCGGCGGCGGGGTAGGGGGCTGCAGTTTTTGGTGGACTGGGAGGGTTATGGGCCGGAGGAGCGTTCTTGGGTTCCTCGTTCTTTGATGCTTGACTCTGTGATGGTTTCTGATTTTCTTAGGTCACGTCGTGGGGCGGGTGCTGGTCGGCCGCCGGGTGGCGTCCCTTGAGGGGGGGTACTGTCATGGTCCGGGTGTGTGCCAGTGTGTCTCCCTCCGAGCCGGCGTCTCCACCCCTGGGAGGGGCCTCAGTGTTTTTGCTGATCGTTGACATCTGTGGGTAATTAGCCGGGGGACTCATAAGGCCAGCGTTCTCAATCTCTCTTCGCCAGATTCTCTGCTAAACATCAGTCAGTGCAGGCCACCACCATAATTTCCTTACGTGTTTTTTTGTGAATCACCTTTGCTTCACTGTATGTTTGTTTTTTGTGCGCCTCCCTTTTTCAGCTACACCTAACTGTTAAACCCCTGGCGAAGAGCTTCTACTTGGATGCTGGACCTTCTGGCAGTCCCTCAGGCTACCACCAAAACTACCTACCTGCCTCTCTGCCTCCACGCCAGGAGTTTTTGGATTTACACACCCGGATTACTCCCCCTCTATGTCATCTCCGACCTCCGTTGGCAAGTACACAGTACGAAGGAGGATTTTGAGCCAAACAACATTCATATGCCTCCTTATCTATGTTTTGAACATTTGCATTCTGTTACAGTGACCCCGACCTTTTCCTGGACCTTTTGTGACTTGCTTTCCAGTCCAATCCCCGGACCCGGACCAGATCATTATTTAGTTAACGTCTACGCTCACCTTTTGTTTATGAATATTTTGTGTGCACATTAAACATTATTCTTAAAATATATTTTCGAGCTGTTCGGCGTCTTGCGTTTGAGTCCTGTCACTCGTCTGAAACGGTCCCGGCCGTAACAAATAACATTAATAATGACATAATATTAATATGAAGAGGCACTTTAGTCAGTTATGATGTGAGGTGGATAATTGTTAGAAGTAGTCTGCATCAAGCTTAAGGTTTGCTAAAATTCAGTATAATGACATATGAAATAAAGAAAATACCTAAACTAATTAAGTGCATAAGAGGCACTTGACCTGCTTGAAAACCTGTCATCCTGGATGAGATTTTGCTGAGATATAGAGCACACCTATAGTAACAACTAATAAGCTAAACCCTGTAGACAACAGCTAAAGCTACAAGATTGAGAAGCTGAATTAAATATGTGGACACTGCTAAGCTAATGAGCAAGTTACACTTTTTTTTTAAATGTATTTATAATTTTTATTTTTTTAGAGCAGGAGCTGCATGCTATTAAAGTTCACACATGCAGCTGTCTGTGAGCTCAGTTTTTTCCTCACACTTCTGATTTGTTTTTGGCAGCAGCTTTTTTTTTTTTTCTTTTTGTGTCCTGACTCCTGTGTGTAGCAACTTGTTTTTTTTGTTTGTTTGTTTGTTTTGTTGGTTTGCAACACAAATTTGTGATCATACTTGTGGATCACAGTGACACATAATAATTAGGCATATGATTTACTAATGTCTAGTTTTAGAGCTGTGAGCAATGCATCCACATTGAGATTAAAAGCCTGGTCCATACTTTATATGAAGCTGCTATAGAAAAAATGGAACCTTGTGGGAAAAGTTCAAATAAAGAAGTTTTTTAAATCCTAACTTAAAAGTTTGAAATATGTAAGATGTGTGAGATGTGTGAATTCTTTGAAAAAAATAGAAATGACCCAAGATATCATGTTGCATCTACCAAAAAGCAGAAGAAGCATTACAGACAAATACAGTTGTAGCATTGCCTGACTATGATAAGCCTTTCTACCTATACTGTATGTAGATGGAGGAGCAGGTTACATGAAAGCAGTTTTAACACAGGCATTTGGAGAAAAACAATGCCCGCTTGCATTTTACTTGTGCAAATTAGACTCTGTTGCATCAGGCCTGCCTACATATGTGCAAACTAGGGCTGGGTATCGTCACTGATTTCTAGAATCGATTCAATTCCGATTCACAAGGTCCCGAATCGATTCGATCCACGATTCGATTTAATTCGATTCGATTCGATTTAAATCTGGGAAATTTTGACAGTCAGAGATATAATTCAGATCAGGACATTTACATATTTTTGTATCTATAAAAAGGAAGCTGACACTCTCAAGACTTTATCCAAGGTGTGAGCATCACAGCAGATGCCTTTGTGTCAAAGTAGCTGAAGATAAAACACAGAAAAACATGTAGGTGATTTTCCTGGCCTGGGATTTTATAAAAATATTCTGCAGTACATCAAAAACGAAAGAAAACCATTAATTAATCAACATTACCTCTGACGTTACAGCGGTTTTATTAGAGACATGGCTAAGCATTTTGCATTTTGAATAATTTTAAAAAGTTTCAATTTGTTCAGTATTGAACAGCAGAAATGAGATTTTCTTTTCGGAAGACTGTAAAAGGGGAAAAAACAGCGGCCGACAGCGCTGTAAGCAACAGTAGACTTGTGTAACAAGCAAGCGAATAATGAAGAAAGGGAAACTGTTCGAGAGAGGGGGGAGAGAGGGGGAGGGAGAGAGGGAGAGCTGCGCATCGCAATGGAAGCAAAACAGTAAAAGAGTGAATTCATGATGATGTTTATGTGAAGCGTTTGGATCTTCTTTTGCTGCTGATTCGGTCAATATTGTTTGGAGAGAGATCAAACTAACAGCTTTAGAATCAGCGCATAAAGGGCGTGAACACAAAGCGCCGACCCGGATCAGCGAGCTGTCGGCTTTCAGCCCCGACTGTGAGAAAGGCGACATCTAACTGATTCTGATCCGCGGGTCGCGCTGTGTGTTTAAGTCTATGTGCAGAATCCCTGTACCTGCTCTCATTTACGGTTTGGTGGTTCTTGAAATTTTGTGAGATGTCACCAGAGATTCTGGCATTTCGGACAAAATAAATTTATATTAAAAAATCGATTCAGGATTTTAATGAATCGATTTTACGTTATCCAAGCCAGAATCGATTTTAATCGATGAATCGATTATAAAAACCCACCCCTAGTGCAAACCTGTGTGATCTCAGATGCGCTCATGTGTGAATTATGCAGCCAATAGTGTGGTGCATTTACCATTAGCAAGTAGGCATCATGTTTGCTGCCTCCTATATAATCTTGGCTCTATCCTCTAGCTTTCCTGGTGCTCCCTCGCCTGATCCACACAGACTCTTTCCAGTAGAATGAACGTGACAGCTCTGTGCTACATATAACAGATAACTAATGTGGAAAATACCCCTACCTGATTCACCTCCAAATTGTCTAAATTTCACACAGTGGCTCTAGGCTGTATATAAAAGACATATTATCCAGGACATGCCGTCACGTGAAAAAGACAATTTTCACAGGACTTGAAGTAAAAACTAAGTACTGCTTCCATAGGAACAAAGAGGGTAATTAGTAGAGATGGACCGATCCGATATTACGTATCGGTATCGGTCCGATACTGACGTAAATTACTGGATCGGATATCGGAGAAAAATAAAAAATGTAATCCGATCCATTAAATATCACGAAAGCACCTCACAAAACTTGCAACACGCCGTAACTCTGCTCAGAACGTTAGCACGTCGGAGCAGTATGCATCACGTGATAGAGCGGCTGTGGCATGCGGGACCTGTCGGTGGTCTGGATAGCATGTGGAGCTTCGCTAGCAACCCGGCATTTCATCTCCGACAAAGTTATCCCCGAGAGAAGTAAAGCAAGTGTGTAAGTCCATCTCTGAATGTAAAGCATTCCTGCGTTAAGCTTAACAAGCAACTGCCTCTTCTTGCTGCTACTTCAATCATGAAACTGCTTAATGATCAGCTGATCGGCTTTTCTGTCGCGAGTCCGTCTCTTTTGTTAGTTTTTGGCCCACTTCGCACCAGAAAGAGGAAACCAGCGGCTGAACAACAGCAGCACGTTTAAGCTTGATCAGCTGTTGTTAGAATTCATTTAATATTACTTTCTACACCAGGATCCTTTTCTATGTAGCTGACGGCTGGTAACTGTGCAGGGGCGGATCTAGCAAAGTGTAGCCAGGGGGGCCGATAGGGCATGAACAGGGAAAAGGGGCACAAAGACATACTTTTCTTTCTTATTCTCATTTAAAATGTCTAGCTTTTAATAAATAATTATCTGACAGCCAAAGTTTTAATTTGATGTAAAATGAATAGAAGTCAATTACTGTATATAGTAACTATTAAGTCTAATATATATACCCTAGTAAGCTATAGTACTTTTTCCTTTGTGAAGGTACCATCTGTGCAGTCTGCAATTTTGTTGAAGAAAGATGTTGAATCTATTTAATATTTCTTGAAAAATAATTGATTTCTGTGCATTTTTTTTTCACACTGCATCAAATTAAGGTTGATTACGTCGATTAAGCATCATGAGGTGGAGCGTGAGGGGTGGTTCCCTATTTTTTATTTATTTATTTTTGTTGCTGGGAGTTGGAACCCTATTAGTTAGGTTGCTTAATATTTATGCTAAGTACTCTTTAAAATACCAGAATAGGGAGGATGGTGTAGGTTTAAGTTTATTAGATTGATCAGTATTGCTGAACTATGAAACATTTTTTTTTGCATACAGGTATAACAGAATAGCTTTAGTGTAGTTGTTGTTTTAAACTTGAGTATGAACTTATACAAAATGCAGCAAGATATTTAAAAAAACAGTTTTGTTGATTAAAAAACACTATATCGGATTCATATCGGTATCGGCAGATATCCAAATTTATGATATCGGTATCGGACATAAAAAAGTGGTATCGTGCCATCTCTAGTAATTAGCAGCCACATGCTGTTGATCAATTATATTTGATTAAGTGATTATCACCAAATGTGAGTACCTCTATAAAACCAGAAGGTTGGTCAGTTTGTTGGTCTGAAACATTCATGTGTGTGATAACATGATGCCACCCTCTTCCTAAGAGAGGGCGTTCATGCAAATTCACCCCCAAGGTCAGACCATGCACTGCAAAATGTTTCAAAAAACCCAAGAGCTCTTCAAACCTCATTAGCATTTCAAATGTTAAAGTTCATGGCAGATGAGACCAAAGTGGAGATGTTTGGCTGTAATACAGAGTGTCATGTTTGGTAAATAAACAAACTTAGCATGTCAGCACAAAGAACTCATACCAACTGTCAAGCATGGTGGTGGAGGGTTAATGATTTTAGCTTGGTTTGCAGAACCTGGGTACGTTGCAAAACATTAAATTGAACATGAATTCCTCTGTGCATGAAAGTTTTCCAAAGTCAGATGTGAGGCCTGACAGGGTCTAACAGCTAAAGCTTGGCTGAAATCATGCAATAGGACCCGAGCACAGCAACAAATCTCCAACAGAATGGCTGAAAAAGAAAAGAATCAAGGTGGTGCAATGACCAAGTGTGGCAGGATCTTAATGAACTGTAGCCCAAATTCCTCCACAACACACTATAAGGTGCACTTAAAATTCTTTAGTTTTCTCAAAATTTGACAGTGCGCCTTATGTATGGAATCTGGTTGTTTTTGTTGACCTCAAACCAATTTTATGTGGTACACAGCGCTCAGAAATCTGTCAAAAAATGTTTCAATACGACTTAGGTTGTATTAAGCTACGAAGCCGCAACGGTTGATGGATTGTCAGAGCATTACGGCTACCAGAGTCAGGAGCCTCGCTGACTTGGAGTAATCTGGGTCCAAAACTCCTTCCTCTTCAGGTCCTAAAGTCAAACGAACACTGCAGCATCACTGAGAGTTAAAAACTGTCTAAATTCTTTCATCTTTAACAACATAATCAGCGTTGCTGCTTTGCCAGATGTAACAATTAAGTTTAACATCCAGGCATCCATGAAAA